GCCCATCACAAGCTTGATTTCCTCAAACCACATCACATGGCTTGATGTGTCAACACTAGATGAAGTTCTCTGGATAGTTCACCAAATAGAGCTTCAAACCATAAAATACAAAAGGTTACATAAAATCTAAACTCAAAACAGCTACAAGATCAAACCAAGGGGAACATGGCAGTAGCTCATGTAAAGACTAAAAAGCTTGAAAGGATAAACAGTCTTCACCTGATGTCCAAAAGAAGATTCTGGGACTAGGGTGTCACCATAGAAAAGTCCCTCTCTCAAATAGCTACTTATGTCATCTTCTCCAGAAGGGGCAAATGGAATAAGGCCTCAGAAAGGGCCTGAGTGTCCAGCTAAACATATTCAGGAGGAGAAGGCTCTTGGTCAGGTAACATGGACCCAAACCTTGTAGATGTTTAAAGGTTAATATTAGTCTTTTGAATTCAATCTGGAAATAAAGGTGGTAGCGGCCAATGCAGATGACAGAGGATCTGTTTTATTTATTATGCATTCTTATTTATATGCCATCTTTCTCCCAGACTGGGACCAAAAGTGATTCACACACACACACACACACACAAAATAATAATCAGCAAAAACCTAACAATAAAATGGGCTGGTAATGTTGCCCCAATTAGCAATCTTGCACATTTTATTTTGGATTAACTTAAATTTCTGGACCATTTTGAAATGAAGCCTCATGTATAATAAATTGCTGTTGTCTACATGATGTGTTATCAGAGCATAGGTAACTACAAGTACACCTCCATTAAAAAAGTAGGTGTATTCCTGGCTTTACTTCTTTAACAAAAACTTTGATACCAGAGGTAGAAATAACATAGAAAGAACTGGATTCCTGCACCACAAAAAACAAGAGCAGCTCAGAATGTTTAAGCAAACTTTTTATTCAAAACTAACATTATGCCCAAAAGAAATAAATCAGCCAAGTCAGGTAAGCCTTGCATAACTCAAAAACATTTTGAATCTTATTTGAAAGCTTCCTCTAAAGTACATCTTCAGATGATTTTTTTTTCTTTCAATATCCTTCACTTTTCTTATGATTTTCATTTTGGTATTAAAACTTATAGACCTATGCTTTCTTAACAAGCCTGAATAGCTGGTAAGGCATCCCAATTGCTTTCCCCTTTTCTGTTTTTCCCCTCTCACACGGTAAGTGATTCTAGACGCAGCCATTTACTATGCCTGTTGTACTTAAGCCCCTACAGTAGGATCACCCAGAGTAGAATCCTATTCTTTCCCAAATCAAGCTTTATTCTACAGACATGCTGGTGCAACCCAACACTGAAAGTCCACTGAAAGTCTCTAGCCCTACTCCATCATCCTCCCAATGCCTATGCTGCAAAAAACAAAAAGCCAAAAACTTTCCAGCTAGACAGAAGACAAGGACATTGAGATATGCTTCCATAAACGACTTTGTAAAAAGGAGCTTCTTTGTCGGAGGTTTTGTTAATTGAAGCATGCTTGTGTAGCAAATTTGCCTCTATCCAGAAAGGGTCACAACTGGCATATCAGCTTGACAAAAGGCACTCTGAACCAACAGGGACTCCTGTGTTACCAGCAACAGTTCTGGATCCTAAATAGACCTGAATTAAAGACCTGATTCTTTAGGATGGTTGTAGCCTTCTCCAAACAAGGTTGAACACTACTCAACTAGGCAGTTTAATCATCCAACAGCAGCACCTCTGTTTTTACTAGGATGAGTCACAGTTTATTGGTACAACATTAAGCCACCCTGATTGCTTGTCAGAGGGCTGGGGTATTATTATTATTATTATTATTATTATTATTATTATTATTATTATTATTATTATTATTATTATTAACATTGCCTTCTCCAACTGGCATAGTCCATCAAGGATTCCAGCAGGGATTCCAGAACCTCTGCTTGAGATCCTTTGAAGTGGAGATGTGCTGGACTGAATCTGGGACTTAGGTTGTTGTTGTTGTTGTGTGTCTTCAAGTTATTTCCAACTTATGGCAACCTTAAGGTGAACCCATTGTGGGGTTTTCTTGCCAAGATTTGTTAAGAGGCTGAGAGTGTGTAATGTGCCCAGTCACCTAGTGGGTATCCATGGCCAAGCAGGGATTTGAACCCTGTCCTCCAGTTCTAACCCAACACTCAAACCACTACACCACAATGGCCCTGGGTTAAAATAAGCTGACCTGAGGAGCTGGTATAAAAGGTCTCTGATCATACTGGGAGCTGACAAAAATTCTGTAATAAAATGTTTATGGATCTCCAAAATAAGACTAGAAAGAATAGGAACAAAATTTGGACTTTCTGATCTTTTTAATCAGTCTGATGCACCTACTGTCTCTCCACTTAGACTGTCAACAGAGACCAAAGCATGAATCGAATGCACACCCGCTTGGATATAAACTGAATTCTGAGTGAGCGTGCAATTGGCATGGAATTGTCAATAACAGCACAAACACAGTGCAGATGAGGAGCATATTTGTTTGTGTGTGCCAGGTATCTGATTTATTCCCCTGTAAATCTGGTTAAAAGCAGCTCTATTTGCTGGGCATAGGAAGACCTTTTTAGAGAGCCACATCAAAGAGTAATAGCTGTCCAACCACATCCTTCACTAGTTCTTACAGGAAATTCAAGCCTAGCAGGAATTTGGCCACTGTAATAATATTCAGTAAGTCTTCCATTAGGAAGACTCAGTTTCGATGAATGTCTCTTTTTCACAAGGGGAGAAGTGTGTTCAGAAAATAATCAACGTAGGCCTAAAATGGGTCCAATTAATATTGACCCACAAGTGCCTAAAATGGTCTTTGAAAGCATAACCCAAAGAATTAAAAAGCAAGTATCACCCCAATATTTACTTTTAGATCAGGCCAGAAAGGTGAAATTCTG